GGGGGGGGGAGGGGAGGGCGTAAAGTAAAGGCGCGTTTGTTTAATAATAGCTAATTGACCGACCGATTTTAGATTCCATTCATTCCCACTGAGAATTGGTTCACCGAATGGCTGGTTTATTTATTAAATCGTCGCAGCCACGATTACACTTGTGAACTGTGAAAAATAGATCGATTTGAGTTACCGTTACTTTCTAATTTGAAGAAAGATATCACTATCGATTGTTCAGAGGAATATCGCTGTATCAATTATTATTTATAAGAAGACATCGCTATATTTAATGTTTCACATTCTTTATGCTGTTGATATATTTTTTTCTGTTAACTTTATTATCGTTTAGAAACGAAAACCTAGGGAAGATGTGCATTTGCTATTCTGCGTGCAAGGCCACAGAGAGAAAGTAAATTAAGGCCTCGCGACTCGACGCACATCGAACACTATACCGTTGCATTTGCTGACATTATGGAGTATTTACGGGGGACTGAACTTCCGATACCGATGAAGTTAATGCTACATCAACGTGTTGTATGATCCATATCGTAACTAAACAAACACCCACACGGTGACAGGTATTAAAAAGTAAAACAGATTGCAATTGAACGCCATTACGACTCATCAGTCGTAAATCCGCTTGACCAATAACCTTCACGATCTTTTAATTGCGGATTTGCAGCTTTTCCTCACGTCATGGAAAACAACATTTTACGAAATAATAGATAACATTTGAAATAATGAGAATATATAAGATTTTAATGACAGTTAATAATTATATCTTTGATTTTACATTTTCCCAAAGCATCTTCTTTTATCACAATTCTTCTTCTGTTTCTCATAAAAAGAAAATAATGACTCAAAGTAAAACTTAAACTATAAGACTTAAAATATAATTCAAATAAAATTTTAATATAGTTTTTCAAGTTGTATGAAAAGATAAAGAGATGATGAAGAATCTAAGTGCGCAGCAATCTCGAGCGAAATAAAAGTCTATTGAAGCTATTTCCCTTATGTGTCGGTCCACAATAGGTGATTTAAGCTTTAAGAAGCTGACCAATTATAATCGAATATGAAAAGAATACTCGACTATGATTAGTCAATTTCTTACGGCTTAAAAATTAAATACTTATTGTGGACCGACATTTATGCGCCATCGTGATTCTAATTTCTACTAATGTTTAGAAACTTTTACTCACAAGTACAAATGCGCTATTCAGTTTCGCGGGTACTCGGAATAGCGCGACTATAATGCTCTAAATATGATAGCGGCACGCACGCGAGAAAGGGATTGACGGTCGCAAAGTATCGAGAGGGAACCATTGATCGATCACTTCTTAGTTCGAGCTTTACCGCGACGGTGGTTACCGAGACGGTGGTGTCGGCAGTAGCCATAACCTTGCTAAATTATTGAACGACCATGTTGGATGGCCCGTCCAGTCATGGGCAATTCCGCGGGATATACATTTCCGGCTCGCATAAAATCGACGTGCCAGAAATCGTGCCAGAAATCGACGGATTTAGATAGGCAAGACGTCGATGGCAGATTTCGAGTACACGCCACGGCACCGAGTATAGTAAAAAGACATCTGCGGAAGAGAAGAAGCCGCGGCAAAGAGAAATAAAAATTGCCCTTCCGAATTTCCGGCGGAAATATAGATTCGAATACAGATACGTAAAAGATACGTGACACGTTAGACGCGATTAATTTATAAGTTAATAATTTAAGGCCTGTCAATTATTTCCGCCTCTGTTTAAGTGTCAAAGATAAATATATCAGGAATTTGAATTGAGTAATCATCATTTCCCTTTGAGAATGATGCAAACGAGTTAAATGTAATGTTGTCGAGAATTAAGAGCGCGTTCAGAGAAGTTCTGAACTGAATTGCCCGGCGAGGAGTCTGCATTTATAATAAATTGGCATTTTCCGATTCACGTGCGCATAGAGGAGGCAAGATAGTAACCACTTCCGTATAATAGTAGCAGAGAATGAACGAGGGAGAGAACGAGGGAGGAATCAATTTAAATGCCGTGATTCAGTGGGACATGATGACGTAGTTAGCGTGTGGCCTCTCTCTGTCGTCTCTCCAAAAATAAGAGATAAAAAGATGAGAAAGAGAGAGAGAGAGAGAGAGAGAGAGAGAGAGAGAGAAGAAAGAAAAGAAGAAA